AGTCTCCTTAGCAAGAAGTGAAAATTATAAAGACACCAGAGTTAATTTAAAATTTCCCATCCAACACTCTATACTCCTACAGTGCCATAAAATGACCTTCAAAATAGTGCTTATACACAGTAAGTCCTTCAAAAATTAATCTTCTATTTCATCTAAGTATCTTCCAACAGGAAATCTAAAAATAATCTCAAATCAGGCATTTATTTAAGAGGAGAAAACCGAATGTTCAGAAGTGTTGCCTACACTGGTGCAGGGTCACTCAACTGCCTAGTATGTCACCTACCCATTCGGTCAAAAAATCTGTGTCCAGTGCACACTAGGTATTAGGACAGCGTGCTGTGTACTGAAGATGCAGGGCAAAGACAATATATGGTCACTGTCATGGAACTTCCGGTCTGGTGGGAAAGGCAAATACTAATTACTTAAAACTGTAGTACTAATTAGTAGAAGGCAAAGAACAGAATGCTTCAAGATGGTCTGACAGGAGACCTAAATCAGTGATTCTCAACCAAGGTCAATTCTGCCCTCCAAGTGACATTGGTAATGTCTTGAGACATCTCTGGTTGTCATAACAGTGGGCAGAAGCCAGGGTTGCTGATTAATGACCCTACAATTTCCTCGCAGCAAATAATTATCCAGTCCAAAATATCAATAGCGCTGAGGTATAGAAACCCAGATCTAGACCACTGGGGCAGGGAGGGGTGAGTGAAGGCTTCCTTCCTTAGTAATGCTTAGTATGTTACATCTTCAAGGAATCTTCACACGGTGGAAACAGAAAAGGCGGCCTGATTGGATAATTAACCAAAACCCCCACTGGAAAGTTCAAATGGGAAAGAAAAAAGAGAAAGATTCCCTGGTAGATGAAAATGAAAGAAAATGCAATGTTTAATAGCTGCTTCACATAAATTTCCTTTCCTGAACTATAAGCAAAAGGAAAATGCACAAATTAAAATTTTTTTCACATTTTTACTTCCTTCCCACTGTTTTCTACCATCCCACTGTTTTCTACCAGCCCATTGTCTACTCCAAGATATTGGTGGAAAGAATATATACAAAGTCCTATAGTTAAGTACATGAACATTCTTGATACAAAATTAGAAATGGAGTAAAACGAAGATGGGATCTCACTTGTGATGAGTAAGAAAAGACAGAACTGTGTTATGACTCTGGCAAGTCCACATCCTGCAGCAGTTCAAAGAGTTAAGTTATCTGACCAACCAAATGACCCTGAGGACAAAAACACTAACAACTTAGGCACCCTAAAAATGATAAAAGGTACCAGAATTCTCTTAGAATGATGAACCAAGGTAAATCCAAAAACTAAATCGCACCGACTGTCCTGACACATCTCACACCTACACATCTGCTCCCTTCCCACGTGGCCCGGCCTGTTCGGAGCAGCAAAAGGAAAGGGTCGGGAACGGACATGGGGGAGGGGCAACCATGGCAATGCAACTAGCTAGACAAAGAACCTCAAAAAAAACAGGATCACTGACTGGTATTTGATTGCTAAAGAGTTATTCAGGTTTTGAAGTGTGACAATGGTATTGGGGCTGTTTTGTGAAGTCTGTCAATATTAACACTACCCAATACATAAGGAAAACCCACCACCACATTCTTCACCTTATCTAAGCATAAACAATGCAGAGCAGATTCTGCAATTCTCAATATATTAGGAGTTCCTCCTATGTTATGAAAGTGCCCCATCCAATTAAGTTACAATTTTCTAAAGCATTGCTATTCTCTCTTCCCTTTTTTCAAAAATTCTACTGTAACAAACTACCCCAGCATCCTTCAGGACAGAGTATAAATGTGTAACTCATAAAACTGCTGCAATCCAGTCATCAACTGTGGCCCCAAACTAGTCCGCAGATGTAAGCGGACCACTGAGACCCTTTTCACTGAGGTGAGAACTCCAAACAGTAAGAAAAAAAGGCCACCATCTCCAAGCAGCCACAACGACAGTGTCTCCTAATGGTAACAATTCCCCAAATGACCCTTCGAAAATCTTCCATTCCCATTTGGACAAACTCTCTTTCACTCCAGAATTGACATAGTGATGGTGGGATTAACTCTTTCATCACAATGACACTTCAGTGGAAATTAAGGTTTTCCCACACAACTGGCACGGTAGGCACCTAAATATCAATTCCTAAGCATCAATCTCATTTAACTCATGATAATTTAGAAGAATTTCCCACATGAAGGATTTTCTGACAGTGATTTTGAAGTCACGGCTGGGGAGGCCACAGAACCCCTTTGAGAAATCACGGGGAAGGGGCAGGGCAATCACAATTCATACACATCCTGCAGAAGGTCGCGGGGTTTTCAGAACTCATGTGCTATCTGCAGACTAAAAACCTGTATTCTTAACTAAGATTTCTGGCATGATCTTGCTCTCAAGCCAACTGGGCAGTCTTGAAACACCTGAGAATTAGCAAGCCATAAAAGCGAAACGCTTCATATTTACATATTTTAAATATCAAAATACCTCACTGACAAACCTTAATCATTATGCCTAGGACTAAATTTTGGTGCCTCATAAAGCAAATGGCATTTCTTTAATTTTTTTTTTATCCTCACCTAATAGCATGCTCATTGACGCTTTTCAGAGAGAGGGGAGGGAGAGAAGTACAGATCAGTTGCCTTGCCCCCTGGGACTGGACAACAAACGGAGTTTTCTTGACAATTCAATGCTTCTAAAATGTTTAAATGTAGCAGAGAAAAGTGCCAAAGGGCTCAGCCCAAGGATAAATGCTTTTAAAAACCAAATTCATTATAAATAAACCTAAAATATCTTTTTCTCTAATCCTGTAACTCAGATTTGTTTTGTTTTTGCATTTTGCTACACAATAGAAAATACTTATTACTAAACTATTTCCCAGTATATGCTTACTTGCAACAAAATTTTCACATCAGCAAGCATTAGACATTCAGACAAACTATTCAAAATCAGAAAAAACCTAACAAGATTATGTATTTTGTGTTTAAACAAAAAAAAATTTAAGCATATTCTTATAATCTTCAAATGTATTTCCTTTCCTCAACCTGCTGGCTAGCTAATCCTACTTTCAAACATGGTGAAATTTGACCATATTAAGTAACAAGGGAGTTAAAATAACGTTTTAACGTATTTTAAATAGGGGGAGAGAGGTGAATGCTACCTACATTAAGATGGAAATACTACTCCGGTAGTAGAAAAGATTAAATAAGAGGTTAAGTGGCATGTAAATGTTAGGCCTCTGATACTTAATGTCAATACTAAAATGAAAAACCAACTAACGTTTCTGCCCCACTGTGCTCTCCTGTGACCAACCAGTGTGCTTGTTTTTACCTACTCCGTAAGGGATCCTATTTAACACCTCACAGAGGCTAGGTATTAAGAACCTTTTAGACAAACAGGAGAGAGACCCCCTCAAAAAGTGGTGGGGTGGGGTAATCAAATGATTGCAGAAGAGCAAGGATTTTTTAATAATAAAAACGTAAACACTGTTAATGCTGCAGTACTCTATGTAGCAAATAAAAAGACCACATGGGGGGGAGGGGCGGTCCGGCACAGGTGTGAAACTATTAACAAATTAGGACACAGTGTCATTCAACACTTTCTATTCCACATATTAAGCGCTATATTGTGGGGGTAGAACCGGGTTTTATAATTTACCCCAAATTATCAACTATAAATTTATAAATAAAATTGAAAAGATTCTGTCTACTGCAATTATAAAGGAGTAATTTTTTTTTAAAAGTACAAAAATGTTTGTTTTCATACAACTGTATCACTGCTCTAACATAGAGTCCAAGTCACAGGAATATTATCTAACTTTTAGCCTCCTCACCAATGTGCTTCCCAAATGCCAATTCTTGGGAGGGGAGGGAGGAAGAATATGAAAGGAAAGAAACGAAACTGTAAAGCAACTTTTAAAGGTCTTGTCCTCTTGAAATTATCAAGATATGTCTGGTACTTTAAGAGGTGAATAAGATTTTGTTAATCATACCATACAACAGGGTTATTAGCACCTCCGCATTGAAAGTTCATAGAATTTGTGCGAATTTCGTTAACATGACATTAGAATTTTTTCTAAGGCATACAGGTTGAGGATAATTCTGGTTGTGTAAGCATGCACTTGTTATGTTTATTTAATGTCTGCATTAAAGTCTAAGTCGGAGCTTTAACATTTGAAAATATACTTTATCAAAACCTAGCTCCCTTCAAACTACTAAATTCAATTAAACAGTGAAAATTAGACACCTGCTGATTAGAAATGTAGTGTTAGATTTGACATGTGAATGAGCCCTTGGGAAATCCTTCCCCAGCATCTTCCCTCTCCAAGCATAGACCTCTTCTTCCCGTTTGTCTTTCTGTCGTGATGATGGGGGGTGAGGGGGGCAGGGAAGGGGGGTCGGCTAAGAATAGAAAATCACTGAATTACCTCGCTTCCCGACCAACCACCCTCTTAGCCTAAGTCCCTAGTTGGTAGGTTACCTAGCCAACAGTATCTCGATTATGCACACTAGGTGCACTGTGACCACAGATCAGCACCCCTTCAGAGCTTTCTGCACCACCCGCAAACGGCGCCTGACTCATTAAAGACCTCGGGGAGGGCTGGGCAGTGAACGTCCAGCGTGCAGTTCAAATCCCACAGGCCCACGAAAGAGGTGGGCGGGGCGGGCCGGGCCTCGGAGGAACTGACCCCGAGAGACCCGCGAGGGGCCTCAGGGGGAGGGGCCCAATGGGGCTTTTCCTCTAACCCCGCAGCCACTCAGTAGGGCGCAGGAGACACCGGAACCTCCCTCCGCCCTGGGACCGCCCTCCCCCCCGGATTCGGGGGAGGGGCGCCGGGGCAAAGAGACACCCCTCCCCCCACCAGGGACACAGCTAGGCCGCCACTCGCCCCATCCAGAAAAGCCCTGCAGACCTGTGCCCAACCTCCTCCTGCGAGCCTGGATCCGGTTTTGGGGAGGAAAGTGGGCAAAAGGGGAGATTAGGCTGCAATACCAACCTCGCTGTTGAAGATTTTCACAGCCTCCATGTTGTCGGTGCGAGGCCCCGAGCCCGGCGGCGGAAGAGGAGGCGGCCACTGCACTGGGTGGGGAGAGCGAGGCGCAGGCGGCAGCTCAGCTGCGAGATGGAGCGCCGGCGAAAGAGCAGGCCGCTGCGACCCCGGGTCGGGCGTGGAAGGGCAAGCGCTGGCGGGGAAGGGCTCCCTCAGGGGCAGCGAGGCGCGGGCATGGCCGCTAGGGCGGGCGGGGCGCCGGGCTGGGGAACACAGGCGCTGCCTGGGCGGGTCGGCAGCGGCGGGGGAGGGGCTGGGCCGTGGCGCCTTATCTTCTCGGCCCCGCTCCGTCTCAGTCCTCCAGGCTGGAGCCCAGTCCCTTACACTCCCCACCCCCTTCGTCCTCTCCCTCCGACAGGCTCCTGTTTCACCTCCCCGCCGCTCGGGCGGCAGGAACCAGCAGCGCAAGGCGAAGACGGAGGAGGAAGCGCTGGCAGCAGCAGCTGCGGCATCCAATATGGCGGAACCGAGTCGGGCCGCGTAGCTCGGAGATCCGCGGCGGCAGCCAGCGCGCCCCCTGGCGGCTGGACCGCGAGGCTCGGGCGGCCGCTCGGAAACCATAGAGGAGGGCGTGCTAGAGCGTCGTCGCCCGGAGGCCTGGCTCCTCCGGCCCGGACAGCCCGCTCTTGGCCCCCGCCTTCCGCGCCCGGCCCACGCGGGAGCGAGCTCTGCAACTCCCTGGAGCTCCTCCGCCGACCCGTGGAGGACTGTGCGAAGCGTTGCTCGAAGCAAAAACCAAACGCCCCCGCAAAAACTCAAGTTTAGGAAATAACATTGTCCACGCTTTTTGTTTCCATGTGGATTTACCCTTCGCAGAGTAATCGGGTTTAGTTACTGTTGAGAACTTGACCGGACAGTGGCTTAGAGGTTAGCAGACGGAAGAAAACTTCCTAATTATTCGTTTATTTGCTAACGATATGCCCGAGTATTTTAATAGCTTGGGGAGAAAATCTTAGAAACAAAAGCTTCGGAGCAGGCCGGGACTAGAGGGATGGGGAAGCCCGCGAGCAGCGCGGTGCAGGAAATGCACGCTCGTAAAATCCCGGGGATTGGAGTGGCACAGACAATGGGTGCATTTGTCTGGGCGCCAGAAAGCGGAGCCTCAGATGCACAAGTTTTGGTTAAGTGATAGGAAACCCATTTTTGTGGGAGATGCATTATTCTGAAGGAATTTTGCCCTAGGGTGTTTGGAAGTAAGTGAATACAATATTCCTAAATGAAACGGAAGATGTTACTGGCAAAATACCTCCTCTCTCACTTTGTGCAATGTAAAATAACCAGTGCCAAAATAAAAGTGAACATTTATTTAGAATTAAAAGTTGACGTATATGACTGAACCGCAAACACTGCTGTCCTCGCTGAGAGTGGTTTTCAGCAGTCATTTCTCCTTAATTCACTCAAAGGAAAGAGGGAAGTGAGAATAGAATGTTTCCGTGGAGGATGGTTAGAATCAAGGTACTGAGCTGGATCCCAGAGCCCTATGAAAGTCAGGGACAAAGGCCTTCTTTACTCTAAGGCCTTTGAGTCACTTCATTGACAGCTTTGTCAATGGGAACTAGCAACTGAGAAAGTAAAAGAATAACTTCATTAGTAAAGACTTTATAAGTCCACCTTCAAATCTCAAATGCTGTCCCAAAGTTCCCCATCACTATTTGCCCCCAATCCTCATAGGCCAAGCCATGATGATCTTTTGCCAGGAATTGCAGTAGCCTCCTTGCTGGTCTCCTTGTGTCTGCCTATAGAGTCATGGCCCACATAATGATGGTTTGGTTAATGAAGGACCACATGTAACAGTAGTCCCATAAGACTGAAAAATTCCTAATGCCTAGTGACATCATACCTGCACTTAACACTAGTACAATTGAATTCATCGTGCCTGTGCTGATGTTGGTGTAAAAAAACCTACCACTCTGCCAGTCATATAAACCTATAGCACATAAAATTATATACAGTACATAATAATAAATGACTATGTTACTAACAGGTATTTACTATACTTTTTGCCACTTTAGAATGTATTCTTTCTACTTGTAAAACAGTATGCTGTGTTCTGCCAGCAGCAGCCTCGTACATATGTTTACTGCTTCTTTTCAATGAATCATTTCTCTTGTGCTTGACTTAGTCTCGTGTTGTTGTATAGTCACATGATCTATAGGTTGTAGCGTAGGAGCAACAGGCTATACCACATAGCCTAGGTGGGTAGTAGGCTAAACCATCTAGGTTAGTGTAAGTGCCCTCTATGACATTCCCACACCAAGAAAAGAACGCATTTCTCAGAACGGATTCCATCAATAAGTGGCTTGTGACTGTAGTTCATTCTTCAGACTATAGCTAGAAGGATTTGGGAGATTTGGGTTTGGATTTTTTGTTTTGTCTTTAGACAGAAATCAGAACAGGTTGCTGACTTAATCCCTTGCTTAAATCCCTTCAAAACTTCCCGAAAGTATCTCAAATACGATCATAACCTCTTACTGTACATAGCCTGGCCCCTCAGCTCACACTGTCTTCCCCTTGCTCATTCTGGCCACACGACCTCCTAGGTTCCTTTCACAACTTCTTTTCCAGCCTAGGAGGATGCTTGCATGTGCCTCTTTCTGCAGTGGGGTGCTATTGCTTGGTTATTTTTATTAGCTGACTCCTCATCCTTTTGCCCTCCTACAAGAGGTCAGTCTGCTCAAAGGAGCGTGCTAGGGCTCACACAAGTCATCCCCTCAGTTCTGCTCACGCCAGGTTCTCAACATTCACTGCTCAGACAGATGAGGGATTGTTTATTCAGTCAGTCAGTCACTAAAGAAGGTTGACTGAAACTGGGAGATTCAAATGCAATTCAAGCTAAAAAATAAAATCAGGTGTTAACAGGTTATGTGACTTGATTTAGTAAAGCTTCCACACCCAGAAAGATAGCAGGGGTCATCCGTTGATGGTGACAAGGAAAAAGAAGAAAGAGGACAGCCTATGCACACTCTTAAGGTGACAAGGAAGTGAAACAAGATGAAAAGTAGAGAAAGTTAGAGGAGGCTAAAAGAGGAGGCTCAAGGGAGGCAGGAGGCCCAGAGCAAAGACCAAACACTTTATGCAAAACTTCACACCTCCACAATATAGCAATGCCAATACTATATATAGTATATGCATGCATATGTTAGTTAGGATGCCTATTTCCAGCATAACCCATTTGAGCTAATGTTAGCATAAAAGAATTCACTATTACAGTACAGGTTTTTCTCCTATAACCCAAAATCGGGCATTCAAAGTTCTCATTTGGAGATAAAGTCTTTAAAGAGACAATTAAAAATGAACTCATTGGGATGGGTTCATTTTTAACTAATCCAACATGACTGGTGTCCCTACAAAAAGAGGAGATTCAATGTTTCAGTGGTTTTCTAGAATGTTCCTTGGGCTCCTACAAAATGCCCGACTTTCTTTGCCTTCTTACCTTTGTATTTTGACTATTGGACATGCAAAGGTGGTGACCTGGAGGAGGGGACAGGTGGAGGGAGGTGGAGGAGGGTAAAGGGGGGATAAATGGTGATGGAGACTTGACTTCTTGACTTAGGGTGCTGAACATACAATATAGTGTGCAGATGATGTGTGTGAAATTGTGCGCCTGAAACCTGTATAATTTTTTAACCAGTGTAACCCCAATAAATTTAATTAAAAAGGAGGGAAAAGGTGAATATGACATGACAATAGTGTTTTTAAAGGGAAAAGTAGCAACAACAATAAGAGAAAGGCCGAGAGTGAAGTTTTGGCCAAAAAAGCATATTAAGGAGATGGTGGTCAAAAGTATTAATGGTCGCCTAAAATTGGGTAGTTAGAGGTCTAGGTGTTTCCATTAGATTTAGCAAATAGGTTCCATTGGTGTCTGATGAGAACAGCTTCAGCCTAGTGACAGGCAAAATTTAGAGTGCAATGGGCTGAGAAGTGATTTACAAACAACTGTGTTCAAAAGGCTTAGTGTGGAGAGAGGAGAAATAGGAAATGAGTTAAAGAGAACAAGGGGTCACGGCCGTGGTCCCTAGACTGTGCGCCAAGGTGCCCTGGGGCGCAGCAGCGGGCTCAGAGGGCTGTCGTCGGATGGACACCAGAGCCAGCCAGGGAAACACATCGCTGCGTGGCACACGGGGAGGGCCTACAAGGGAATTCACAGTTTCTGCATTAGATCATAGCGCGTTCCTTTCGACCAAGTTACGCCTTCGTGAAGCTGGGTTTACGAAGTTGCTGGGGTGAAAAGGAAGTGCCCGTGTGAAAAATCACCGTGGAACGGGAAAGAAGGGTGAACATGGCCAATCTGATTTCTAGAACGGAGAAGCTGTTCAGTGCCCCAGTCACACAGATCTGGCTGGTAAGTAATACACCGTTTAAGAATGAAAAGAAAATTTTCCTTCACATAACTATGTATTATTTTTTTTTAAACTGATACTAAGTTGTAAGAACATAAGTACTTGCTAGTGGTTGATCCAAACCACATAAAAATGGAACTGTGAGGTGTTTATTTTGTCCTAGGGGACCAACCATGAAAAAAATTATTGAGATACTAAGAGCACTTTTTTTTTCCCTTCAAAATCTGGCATGTGGGGATTAAACTAGATTTGATTTGATTTAGAAAACTAAACTCAGGCCAAAGGGAAGGGAGCAAGTGGGACCCCTCAGGAAAAACCTACCGTGGGGAAGGGGAGAGATAGGAAGTACAGGTCCTGCAGACTCGCCATCTGATCTCAGCTGCCCCTTGAGGGAGGAGTGCCCACTCTCCGCAGGGTGGTGCAGTCTGACATTCTGTACACCCTCCATCCCCATTTTGATTTTTTCCCCTTTAAATCCAAATCCCCACCTCCCTTTGTCTCCACAACGTGCTTGGTCTATTTTCAGATTCTTAAAGAGTTAAATAGTCTTTCATCAAAAAGAAGGAAAGAAAGGAAGGAAGGGAGGGAGGGAGGGAGGGAGGGAGGGAGGGAGGGAGGGAGGGAGGGAGGGAGGGAGGGAGGGAGGGAAATGTAACAATGTAAGTATGGTGTTGATTTCTACCTGTTATAT